GTCTTCTCCATTCACCAGTCTCAGAGATTTTTCTTGAAAGGAAAACATGTAAATTATACTTTTGCCTCAGATGTCTAATTTTTAAATTCTTCATCACTAAACAGAGATGAATCATCTTTGTTGTTCTATTTTGTCCAAAGAATACATTAATGTTAGTCAATTTTATTCAAGTCAGATTATTGTTTGATTTAGTCTTGGTCTAACAGAAGAAAATAATTCTATAGTAACGTACGAAACAATATGTTCTCTCTGTAAGTTCAATTCTATCCCTTGGCAGCTTTCCATTGTAAAAGACCTCAATACAACCACATTTGTCTTCTCTGTTCACCAGTCTCATAGATTTGTTATTGAAATGAAAACATATGTAGATTGGATTCATCCAGTGGTGGGATTCGAATAATTTAATAACCGGTTCTCTGCCCTAATAATTTCTTCTAACAACCAGTTCGCTAAACTGCAGAAAGTTAACAACCGGTTCTCCCAAAGTGGTGCAAACTGGCTGAATCCCACCACTGGACTTATCAATAGAATTCTTTATTACTAAATAGAGATGAATAACTTCTGCTGCTCTGTTTTGCCCCTCCCATGATCAGCTGGAAGTGCTGTAGGTTTATTGTTATAATAGTTTTTACTGTTATGAGAATGACAATCCAGCGTATAATAAATACCTCTTATTCCCTGAGTAGTCAGCTTAGCAGAGGGTGTTGAAAGGTCTGACAAAAACAAAAAAAATTATAGTTATATGACTCTGAAACTTTTATAGAAGTTCTTTTTTATCATGGATGTGTAGAGATAAAAAAAATAATGGTGGGAAAACAACAACAACTATTCTCTTGGTTTTAAACTCAATCCATGTGCTCTTCCTACAAATATTTGTTTACAAATTCAATTGTTGCACATTCTCTTTGACCAAACCACTTTATAGCCTAATTAATTTGGCTTCCAATAATTCAGAACCCAATCACTACTGGTTAACCACAAGCAATAGTAATCAATTTAGTTATTTACATACCATTTCCTCCTAAATTAGGACCCAAGATTTGCTTTTAAGTAACAATAGAAATTTAAACAAATACCTACCAGGTGGTGATGTGGTGGTAGCAGGACCTGAAAATTGAAGAAATAACTTTGGTCTGGTTGAAGAAGACAACATACTGATGTTGATGAATTTTGGGGATATAGTATATTTTCCATTGTAATTATTTCTTTTATATTTGTTACTGTTCAGTTCAACACAATAAAGTAAAATAAAAAAGGGTATAGCAAGTCTGACTAAAAGTATTGGTAATGATGCCTATTGCCTTTTAATATTGAGACTAATATAGTCCTCATTTAGTGATTGCAGTTGAATCTGTCATCTCCTGTGGCTGTTAAACGTGTTAAGAACCTTAAACAAATTTACTTAAAGATAATATAATAACTTATTGAAACCTGAATAATAAGATCCAGTCCTTAAATATTGTATGTTTGATAATAAATGCATTTTTGTATTGAATGAAAATTGTCTGAAAGCTTTACACATAATAGCAATTAGGATCCATTGAGATACCATTTTAGACCACCTAGTTGAATGAAGACAAACTTCAGTTTCTAAGCATAAAATTCTACCTGGCAAGTCACATTACACTGACACCTGAGTTTTAAATTGTTCTTTGACTATGTTTTCATAATATAAGCCAAGTAAAACATCACAACATTTGATGCAGTTTAAAATTACCTGAGCAAATGACCCCAGCATCTTCCTTGTGACGACAGTCATGA